TTCATTAATATGTAAAAGCCAATTTGTATGATTTTTTTTAGTATATTTGGCTTTAGAATTAGTAGGAAAATAAACATATTTATACTTTTGTAAGTAAATTCCTTGAATCTCACAAAATCTACAACCTAAATATGAATTATGTCCTGTGATATTCATAACTTTTGTAAGAGCTGGAATATCACCAGTCCATGTAAGAATATATACATGTAATATAAATTCACTTTCGGTATAAGCATCATAAAATTTTATACTATCTAAAAATAAAAATATTATTTTAATAAAAAATAATAAAATACTTAATTATAATAAATATAGTAAATTACTTACTTTCTAATTCTTTCATTTCATTAATAAATGGTCGTAAAAATGTATTAAAATCCTTTGGTTGATTTGGTTCAGGAATCAAAAAAAGAATTAATAAATTTTCTTTTTTAACTCTAATTGAAGGATCCAGATTATTATTTATTAATAGAAATAACTAACAATCATCAGTTTTTTGTTTAAATATCTGATATCCATCACAAGATACTGAAAATGCAACATCTCGTTGATCATTGAATAAATCTTTTTCTAATAAATCTTTATATAGATTTCCATCAAAAATATCTTCTAAATCTTCAGATTCAATCTCTTTATTAGTAATATATCGATATCTATAAAGTAATTCTTCAGCTCTTATTTTATTATTATATTGAATCTCTAATCTTTTTTAATAGAAAAATATGGCATTACTTTTTTAGATTTATTTTTTGAATCATATCTCAATGAATTACATAATGACAACTTTGATAAGTTTCATAAATTTCAGTATAATATATACAGGAATTTTCACACATATCATAAAATTTTGGAAAAAGTCCTGTAATTTCTTCTAATATTTTTTTAATCTTATATAAACTAATATTTTTATTGGCAAATAATTTGATAATATCATTATATACTGCTTCCGTAAAATTATATAATGATTTTAAATGCAAAAGTTTAAGGCCTTCTATAATTTCTTTATTTAATCCTTTTTTAATATCAACTTGCATAATATCATCTATATCTTCATCTTCATCTTCATTATAATTATTATTATTTTCTTCATCATCTCTTTCATCAATATTATAATCTTTATTATCTTCTTCTGAGATTTTCTCACTCGTAAATAAATATTCTATTTCGCTTTCATTTGCTTCATCCATTTGAATATTAATTTCATTTATATTATCTAAATATTTCTTTAAATTTTATTAATTAATATTATATAATAAATAAAAATAAAATATTAAGTAAATTATAATTTATAATACTTACTTCATTATTTTTTAAATTTAAATTTATATCTTTTTCTTTAACATTTTCTTCTTGTTCACTATTGCTTGATTCCTCTTCTATTAATATCTAATTTCTTTTCCAATATTTATAATAAACACTTTTTATTACAAAATTACCATTTGGATAATTTTTTAAACAAAATAAACATTTGTATAAATGTAAGTTTTTGCTCATTTTATAATAAAATTAATTAAAAAATTAAAAATATTTTGCAGGTAAGAATTAAAAAATTAAAAAATGTTTTGCAATTAAAAATGAAAAATGTATAAGCAATAAATTACAAGATATATATTGTCACTGTGGAATTTTAAAGGTGGATTTTTAATAGTTTTTTAAATAGAATTTTATGTTTAGAGAAAGTTATCACAATGTATGAAAAATATGAATAACAATATGTATGGATTGAAAAGCTGATAGGCTTTTTAGATCATTTATCATATATTTCTATTGAAGTTTATATGCAAGTGTCACGCCACTTTTTTTTGTGCAAAAATTCAATAGAGGAGAATATTACAATTCATATTACTTCGTGAGAAGTAGTGTTCAGACCCAGTTTATTAATGGATAAACTGAGTTTATCCATTAAGAAAAAACTAATCTGGATTGATAATCGTTAATAAAATTTTAATCCAGTTTGTTTATAGGTTTAATCCGTTAAATTAACGGGTGGATAAAAGATGGATACCAGTTTATTAACAGTTGGATAACAGTTTAACGGTTGATTAACAGGTTGTTTATACCCAGATATTATGATTTTGATGTTGTAGAAGTACCAAAATTTTTATCGATGTTAGCATTTTCCAAATAAACAAATTCAAATTATAAGAATTAAACTAAGCCTATTATTTATTGCAATCGGATTTGGCAATACGCTCGATACTGACTAAACAAATCAGTTTATTAAATTAAATAAGCCCGCTTGTAAAAAAAAATTTTCTTACTCATTTTTTGCATTCATAACATTTATTAAACCTGCGAAATTATTAATTATAATGGATATTTAACAAAAAATAAAACTTTTATTAAAGTCAGTATATTGGTACAGTATGTTTAATTAGTTATATTAGGATGAATTATATCAAAATTAGACGTATTTTTTTTTAAAAACATAATCTTCTTGAATAATTCTGGCTTCATACGTGTCTTTTTATTAGTTAATAGATTACCGGCATCAGAAAAAAGTCATTCACTTGCAGTTGATGTTGCAGAAACTGCCAAATACTTTTGAGCAAAATGACTTAAAATAGGAAATTTGTCTTTTTTTTCATTCCACCATGCAAGAGGATTTGAATCTAATGAAATCTCTGGTAGTTGAAGATATTCACCAACTTCATTAAAAGCAACTATATTATCTTTAGCAAGTCGTGCCATTAAAGTTTTTTTTTTTGTTAAAGATTTTGGTTGAGATACTTCTAAAGAATTAGGTATTCCAGTTTCTTTTGATAATCTTCTTTTTCTTATTCAAACAATTTATATAAATGCCATTCAGTATTAACTTATTGATCTATTAAAGCAAAGTCAAGTTTTTTCAACCGAGGATCTAATATTGAAGGAATTAGATTTTCGGTGATAAGTGTAAGATAATATTTTTTTATATTTGTAAATAATTTTGATTTAACTTTATCAAGTAAACTAAAAGTATTAACTGGTTCATTAATTATAATATTTCTGTTTGTTAATTCCTCTTCTTTGTCATTATTTTCAAATACATCATCTTGTTTATTACTATCAGAATCTTTATCATATGATAATAAATTTGTTGTAAGTGTTTTAGTAATTTCCATCAACATTGGTATATACAAACTATTGGTTATATAATTGCTTCCTCCTAATACTTCTGTTGCTTCTGCAAATACTAATAATACTTCTGTTAAATCCATAATAAGATCCCATTCATCATCATTAATCATTATTTCTTTCAACCTTTTAGCATCT